CACACTAAACTCGTTTGTTTACTCTTAGATTTTCTCGTTCAGAAGTATGTATTAAGGTGCAATTTGTTGATAATCTGATATACTTGGATAAGATGCAAAGTGTCATAGCTGTTTACTTTCATCGTTACTTTTACTTGGGTAGTAATTAAATGAACACAAAGTGATGATTTTTAGTGCTCTACTTCTAGGTAGCTTGTAAGGAGGGAGGATACCCCAATTTTGAAGGCACACTCCAGTCATTTTCATTGCGGATCCTGGAGCGCATCAGGAGGCTGCGGTTGGCGCGGCACCAACCCGTTCTTCAACAGTTGTGGTCGCTTACCAGCTTCCACAAATGCTGGAAAAGCGACTGGCGCCGGTTCTCCCTGACACGCCCCAGCATCCGCAGCGAACAAGACTATCTGGGCAGACCAGCTTGGGTGAGGCTTCCCTCATTAATGCCCCTTTCTGCAAGGAAACCATTAGGATTTCATGGAAAGAGCTCAGATGAAAGGAGCAGTGGTTCGAGTGACTTCGCCCATATGTGGAATGTGTTTCATCAGATGAGAAGCTCAATAGAGAACAGTTCCGAGAAAGTGCCACACTTTTTCGCTGTCAATGAAGTGAAGTGGAAATTGAAAAAACCTGGGCTGGTTCTCAAAGGTTTCCTGATGTAAGCGCCAAACGTGCACTCGAAAAAAAAAAAGAAGAAGAAATGGCGTGCGATAATAAAAATAGCATGCAACCTTTTGTAACCGAGTTTTTGGGGGAGATCTCGTGGTAGAGTTCATCCGCCACGCGGGCAACCTGGATTGCCTGCAGACACGATTCCAGACTGAGAAGAGTGCATGGCTTATACCGAGGTGAGTGGTGGTTGCCGTCCATGTTACCCTGTACATTTCCACAAGGGTAATGTCGGACTTGTGGACCATTCTTCACTAAACCCTTCTCGTAACCCTCATAAGTTCCTTTTCTACCATTTTGTCATTTGCTCAGTCACGTACTACTCTTTTTAGATAGCGCTGAGTTAGACGAAGTTTTCGGATGACCCAGTTTTGTGGGCTTCCCGCATTTGCAAGTGTTGTTCACCATGAAAGGGCTATTGATTGTGCATCTGGTGCTCCTAAGTGCAGAGGCTTGCACTTGTGTTAGTCTCTCAGCGGGTGACATTTCTCAGAAAATAAGCCTGAAATTAGGCCGCACCACTTGCAATGACGAGCGCAGTTTCGGGAATAGCAGGGTTGCTCCATGAGTACTTAGAAGCCTTGCACAATGTGAAAAC